CGGTCGACCGGACCGGTCGACCGCCGCCTGATTTTCCTGATTCTGCTGCTGATGCTGAAATTCCTTCAAGAAGATTAGTTTAGGAATTATAACTTTTCTACTTATGGTGTAGATTACCTCAAAATGGTTCTGATAGGATCATAGCTGCAATCTTATAGATTAGAAAGCTAATCTCAATTGATAACTGAAATGGCATGGTTTATACACTCTTCCTCCTTTACAATCATTGACATCACAATCTTAATAGAAGATCTCTAATCTAACAAGCACTAAGCCTAGTCATGATCCTAAATTAACAATCTACTCATCTTGATTCTATCAATCTCTTCTCTATCTTTAATCAGCAAGTATAATTACTATCACTAGTTACCAACCGCGCAACAAAATTTTTAGGATTTTTAAGCATTAATTAAGACTATTTCTTGCATAGAATATACCAAGTAGGGAGATAACTTGAGTTTAATTACATGCTTAATGAAGAAAAGTGGTCTAGGGAGACGCCCGCATCATTGTACATAGACTAGTTGTGCATGAAAAGCCCAGACCTTTCCTCTGCAAAGGGAGAAAAATAATGGAATTCATAATATACAGGGGACAATTTCATACCCCCTCATAATACTGGAATGTTGTGCATAACTAGTCCTTATCTAATTTTAGAACCCTCATAATACACAAATGTTGAGCATGACTAGTCCTTATCTAATGAGACATTTGACACTGTTTTGCATAATAATAATAAAAATTCCAGTGCTTATCAAAATCCCCTTCAATTTAATTTTAAAAATATATAGTATTCAAAAGAAAATGAATTAGCCAAAATAAATTTGGGTAATAGTGAATATGTAGAAAAGTTATATTATGAGAACATAGTCTAAGCAGTCCTTTAAGTTTTACCTCTCTTTTCTCATAAGGTTCCAAGTTTCTATTTTAGGGACTTAATTGTCGAAAAAAGAAAATTAAGAACTTTTCAGAAAAGAGGGATAAATTTTAGGGGCTTGTAGTAAAATGGCCTTATGGACTCTTTGGGCTATATTCTCGTTTAAGGCCCATGAGGAGAGACAAAACAATAAATCCATGTTCATTACATTTTACAAGAATAAAGCGAGAGCAAATATCACTTTATGTAAGGACTTCTACAATCGGACGTAGAGGCCTTAAACTAAGAAGTCCAAGGATCAATTGATGTCTATGTCCCTCCTGTCCTCATTATTCGTTCAGCGGGTATTGTTCCGCCACTGCTATTAAATGGGCCTTGGGCATAGGGGGAGCCCAGTGATCTCAAGCTTTTACGTATTATTATTGGGTAGGCTTTAGAGCATCCGTAGGTGACCACAACCATCTGCTGGTGGGCACCCGGTAGTATGGTGTGCTTCCCTGTTGGTGGGAGAGCTTAAACTCTTAATCTACTGGCAAAAAATAAAATAATATAAAATTGGGACAACAAACCTAGTTAGGAAATAGAGTTCTATCAACATATTAGAAAAATTCGAGCAAGTTGACAATCAACATTAGAGATACTTTGCATCGGTCCATAGTAGTAGTGACCTAATTACCAACAATTCAGATACTAGACAGCCAACCAATATCTTAGTCAATAAACTTCCCATTTAT